TTGAAGACCACATGCAAAAATTCAAGCCCTTTCGCGAAAATTTTTTTTTCACCCAAATCGTCACTTAGCATGGTTTTGCACTCACCCCTTCAATTGTTACAGTTGCAATCCCCAACTGGTTAAGTTCAAGAACCTGTTCTATTGTGATTGCTCTTAATGCACTGATGGCAAAACATGGCACCTTTTGCCAATGTTAACCAACACTTGAATCTTCGGAAAAAGCTGATAAATCAAACCAGTCAGTAGCACACTTTCTTCTCTAATAACGCTTTGATTCAATCCTTCTGTTTGTCCTTTAAAAAATCAAAAAGTGGAAAAAAATTCAGAGCAGAAGCAAATGCATCTTCTCTACTCAAGGCTGCCATTTTGTTTTTTGTTTTTTTCTCACATCTGACATCACGTAGCTTAAAGCAACCAATCAGCAAAAACTGTTCGCCAGGCAACGGTTGGAAGAGCCTTTACAATGGTGTGACTACAGACAGATTTATTTGTGATTCGCACAGTGGCGCTTCGTGCCTGTTCCTTCACTTTACACCCACGCTCATGTATCATGCTAGCCTTCTAATCCACCTGTTCTGGAGACTAATAATTAGTAATTATTACTTGATTGTATCTTGCTCATGCCATCAAAACATCAATAGCTCACACACACGACAAAGGGGAAAGCTGCGTTGCTAAAAGGGTTAAAGTATGGCATGCAGACAGTGTGCCCTTTCTTGACGTTGTCTAAATTCATAATTTTTGAAAAGTCAGGGGTTGGTAGCCTACAAGTAATCACTAACATTGAGGCATAAACAGTGAAGAGGTAGAGGACCCCCCCCCCTCCCCTCTCTCTATCACTTGTCTTACGCCAGTCTAGCAGGCTCGAATGTGGACTGAGTAGTTTGAGTTGGGGTGCTAGCCTGGGTCATACAGTGTGTTCCAACTGCCGCCTGATAAAGAAGCTCAAATAGGTGTACAGATATTTCTAGATATTTCACCAAAGGGAAAAAAGAAATAACAATGTATATATTCTCTTTCATATAACAAATCAAACACAAGAGACAGTGTTTCCTCAGGATATTCAAACACCAAGAAGAGAGTTGAAAATACAATGCGCAGCGCAGTATATTTGACGAAATTCGAGGTATTTGGATAGCTGATGAAACACTGTCTTGAGGGTTTGATACATCTTCTCAATCAAAACAAAAACTAAGGAGTAAACAGAGAAGTAAAATTGTCAAACTCTATGCTAATTAAGACCGGGTTTCCAAACCTTCACAGTTGTGATTTTCTTTCTTTTAACTTGATGAATTATTAATGAGTGAGAGAAGCAATCATAATTCATCTACAACGTGTTTCACAGGCAGGCAAAACTATTGAACTACACTTCATTATAAGAAAAACTTTCCACTAGATGGACATCAAACCAGCTGGGCAAAATTGACCTCATGGCCAGTCAAATTGCTCGGTGCCCAGCCCTTAATTAAATCCCAGTGCATGAAAAGTTATGGTAGTCTTCCAGGGTTATTTTTCTTACAGCATGTATTCTAAAACAATATTCTTAATGTATCACTGGGGTTGAAGGAGTGAGGTGTGATAAATTACAATAAACATTTTTGGTTCGGAGTCAGTCTGCACATTTCTGACAAATTTGCCAATGATTTGCAATTCTCTGATTTTCTAGTTCTCGAGTAATTTTTTTAGTCAATTTTCCAGCTCAATAGCAGAGTTGCTACATGTACCTGGCCCAGCCCCTTGTAATGGAAGTTGCATGAGTTTCACCATGGCTTCATCAAGTGAGCAGAAACTCTACGTTTGTGCAGTAACAAAATACAGCAAAACATTTGTTGCTGTTGGTTTTTGTCTGCATTAGATGGCTGGGTTATTCAAATCAAAACAAGTTATAATTCAATTGTTTGATTATGACCTCAGTTTGATTTTCACGAATAATGATTTCACTCGGTTAACTGCACAGGAACTAAGGATGGACGCTTCACTAGTTTTTGAACTGTAATAAATTTAAATTTCAGCCTTCATTGTTTAAACCACTTAGAAACAAAACCTATATTGTCTTACCCCGTGTATCCGTCAAAACATCTCTGTCTTTGACACAGCCATGCTGTCCGGAGTGCGTTCTGTAAAAAGTAGGTTTTGTTTTGTTGGCGCAATGGCAAGAACAACCACTACCCGCGCCGCCATTTACTCCACGAGAAACGGCGCCATACTGTTCACATGATGTCGCGCAACTAAAAGACTCCACGTTCACCTCGAAAGAATCTCCTTTGTCCCTTGAACGTGTTACACTTAAAACTTTCGGTGATGATCCGTGAACTGCCACAAAAACTACAGAAAAGATGTTCCAGTATTTGACAAGCGAGGCAAGAAAGTTCCAACCCATTTCGGAATTTCAACAAAGCTTCGCCAAACTTCCTTAGTTCTTTCTGTCTCGTAGTTAAAAATAAGCGTTTTGGTAATTCTCTTTCTATGGGAACAATGTCTTCAGGAAACCAAGTGACATCTTGCACTTTAACGCCCAAACCACAACGTGAGTTGTCCGACCGGCATAGCTCCTCGTCCGCCATTTTGTTCATATAAGGCTTTTTCAACACGTGACGCATTTCCTACTTAGCAGGGATCCCCTCTGTACGTCCTTTGTGCTACCGCGGTTAGTTTCAAATTACCGTTAAGTACCTCATGCTCAAGTACCGAGCGAATGAGAAATCGTTCTAAGTAGTGTTTTGTACAACGTGTGAACTAGGAAATGCAGTGTTTAGAACATAATTCTTTTGTGGGTTCCTTTTCGGTCTGGCTGTGGTATATTCTTTTAGCTCTCTTGGCGCTGTCGAGGGCGTGGCGAGTCTACAAGAAAAAGACTGCACCGTGGAGGGCTTAAATGCCGGAAGGCAGGATATTTTTAATTCTATCAGTGGCCTGCGGAGGATTAGCCCCCCACGCAGACGCCTTGTAGTACTGTTGGGGAGAAGCGTTGTGTTACGACCCTAATAACGGCTACAAAATTATTCATAGAAGGCTATACTAGAGGATCGGCTACCGGTTTTCTGCACCCGGAAAAAGGGCGTAGAGAGAGTTGAAAATGATCATCACAAGAGATAATCTTTATGAAGCGGTGGGCGTCACTGAAAGATTCAAAGACTGAAGGAGACAAAAGAAGAGAATCAAAAAACAAACAATATGTTATTGAATAGATAACAGACTAAAATTTTGCATTTTAATTTTAGCATACACGTTCACATTTAAACGAGCAGGCTCACTGGTGAAATGTGTCTAAATAAAGTACTTACTACTTTACTTACTTCCTTACAAACTGAAACAAACAAACAAACAAACAAACAGAGGTATCGGCAGCCGTGACTAGCCCCGTGGGGTTTATACGGGGAATTTTCCGCTCTAAGGGGCCGCGTGCAAACCCTTTTCGTTGTAAATCAACCATTTTCACAGAAAGGTAACCCTTTCAGATATATACCTTCCATAGAAAATGGTACCCCTTTCATATGACTGAGAAACAAAGGCAGATGATTCAAGATATATTATAACTGACCTTAGCTAAGTTTCTCCGCTCCAGTAACTTAGGCTAGCGAAATTCTTATTTACCGTTTTTAATAGTTCGAACCTAAAAAAAAAAAGCGTTCCCTTTTCGGACAGTCCAAACAACTTCTGTCACTATTACGCCCTGAAAAGCAACAGAGCACCTCTGAGTTATTTTTTATACGATGACAAAGCCGTGAGAAACTGAGAGCGAACGACATTAAAACGATTGAGAATAAGACTAACAACACTGCATATTGCATACGATATCCGGAAGCCTAATTCATTTAATTTGGTGATCAGTAAAAGCAAAGTACAAAACGGCTATTTGATTCAGTTTGCTAGGGAGGCTAGGCCCGGCAGACAAACATAAGGCTAACATATAATAATTATATGCTCAGTGGCCTCTAAAAGAAACCATGTCTGTAAACATGGTGAACAGTGAAAGTTAACAATTCTACCAATTTTAGCGGGTCCTATCCAAGTAGTTCTATCCAAGTGGAAGAACGCTGTTGATTAAAAGTTCGATTTTCGTGTAAAATGAGTGCGCGAGAAACTCGCGCGAGTAGTTCTCGATGTTTGTGTCTGTGACCCTGTATAAGATGTCACTTAACATTTAATTCTTCTACTAATTTTAAAGACTTCCTTCCAGAATCGATGGAGTTTTTGTCCAAGTATAAGCACATTATTAATTATTTAGACGTATTTCTTTTAGCCAATTTTTCGTGCAGGAAGTCTCGCGCGAGTGAGTCCGGCGTGACATAACGCACGATCTCTCAATGATTGGCCAATCTCGTGACAACAAAGAAACTTCCGTTCCGTGACGTTCCGTGACGTGAATCCGGCGTCATTTCGTAATAACAGTCATTTTCGTTTCGTTTCGCGATCAAAATCCGTAATTGAGTCACTAAGTAATTTATTTCATTCAACATGGATACAACTGTAGATGTGGAAATTTCGACATCAAACAATGAACGAACAAGACTTATTCCGAAAAGCAGTTCTCGAAGAGTCTTATGCGCTACATTAATTTCTGTTTGGGGGACGCTTAGCTTTGGATTCTGTGTAGGTTATTCCTCTCCGGCCTCGTATGATTTGGAGTCAGTCGCGAGTCAAGATATCCGTTTGAGTAGCTCACAGCAATCCTGGTTTTCGGTAAGTGTCAGTGATAGTAAACATTCAAAAGGTTTGTGATTATTAACGTTATAATTGTATACGAGATTATAAGGGATTTTCTCTTTAATACGCCATATTAGCAGGTTGTAGTGATGGTTTATGACGAAGTAACCGACTTTCAACTTCGTACCCCTAGGGTAGCGAACGGGGGCGGGGAAGGGGGAGGTGGAGGGGGAGGCGGAGGGGATATGATCTCCGGTTTCACACACGAATTAAGACCAGCGCAAGTTGCAAGGAAGCGTTCGTACAAGGCATTTCATGGCCACAGTGCGAAAATGGAACTCGGGAGCATTTTTCTTTTGTTGAGCGAAATAACGGCGGCTAGAAAATGACAAGCCCATCTCTCGCGACCGGCGATGCGATTTTTGACTCTATCACGGCTAACCGAAACATCTTAAAACATATGACTTCCCTTTTTGCTCTTCTCTACATGGTCCGGATCGATATTTTCCATAGTGCTTACCGAGGTCTTTATTCTCGTTGCAGTCTTTGATAGCAGTCGGCGCTTTATTTGGAGGAATCATCGCAGGAAAGGCAGTCAGCCTGATTGGTAGAAAATTCACCATCATCCTCGGCGCCATACCTTTCGAGCTGGGGTGGCTTCTGATTTTCTATGCAAAGAATCATCTGATGCTGTACGCTGGGAGGATCTTCACAGGAGTAGGATGTGGCATAGAGACATTAGCTGTTTCGGTGAGTTATAATTACTGTCTAACCTGCGAACAGCTTCGTTAGCCGATGTATAACCCGGAAGAATAGGGCATAACGAAAAACGGCGAGTCGTAAATAGGCATATAGTCTCCCATGGCCAAAACAGACGCTGTTTGGGTTTGCGACGCAATCTATCCCTCCCAAAAACGCGTGACGTGCCCAAGGAGCGTTCTGAGTTAGAGGTTCTGAGCTTCTAAGCTTCTGAGAGGACTGACGTCTTCGCGAGGTGGTCCTTCCTAGACTCCGCTCGATTAGCTAGCTTTTTTTCCGACCCCCAACCCCTTCCTCGTAAGAGAATGGCAGTCATAGAGATTGCCCAGGTCTGATCATAGAAAATATTGCATGTAGATCCTCTTCTCCTCCCTGTCCGAAAATCGGCTAGGAAGGCATGACTTCAAAACCCGCCCAGGCCTTAATTTCTTTATAAGGCCGAGTTGCGACTGTTCAATTTGCAAAACATGTAGCAATAAGCATAATTTGTAAAAAAAAACAATGTTACTTTTGCAGGTCTATATAGCTGAGATCTCCCCAGCTCGCCTACGTGGAATGCTTGGCGCAATGAATCAACTAGCTGTGACATTAGGAATTATACTAGCTTATTTAGCAGGATATTTCTTCTACTGGGACTGGTTGGCATTGCTTGGGTGCATTCCATCAGCGCTACTGTTCATAATGATGTTCTGGATGCCAGAGAGCCCTCGATGGTACCTCGAGAAAAACCGGAAAAGCGATGCGTTGAAATCGTTGCTGTGGTTACGTGGATCTCAGACTGGTATCGAGGATGAATGTCGCGAGACTGAGGCTACACTAGGTAAGGTCATTTTTGATTGACAGGGGCGTAGCTAAGGGGGGTCCTGGGGTGCCCGTGACCCCCCCTTTTGTAAGCCTTTTTCTAAGCAAACAACCTACAATAGGTGGCGAAAACGACAGGACAATCTGGTGAGTACCCTGACTTTGAAACTGTGTGACCCCCCCTTTGAAANCCTTTTGTAAGCCTTTTTCTAAGCAAACAACCTACAATAGGTGGCGAAAACGACAGGACAATCTGGTGAGTACCCTGACTTTGAAACTGTGTGACCCCCCCTTTGAAAACTCCTGGCTACACCCCTAGTTGCGAGTGAAGTCTGTGCGGGTCAGACCTGTTCGTGTTTGAATGAGATTTGAGGAAGGTGAAATTCTAAAGAGTGTCGTAAAAAGATGTCAGTATGTAGTGTTTTGCCAAACACATCACACAGACAAACAACACAACAGACCAATGTGAAGTCGACTAAAAGGTGCTCAACTCGTGGACAGCGCGGGAAAAATGTATCCGGTGCCTACTGCCGCGGTAAAACACCTTGACGTCACGAGTTGGTCGCACCTGCCCACGAGAACACAAATTAAATACGTGTAAACAAAGATTCGAATGGGTTTGATTTCATCATGACTGATTTAATAACCCTTTCACTCAGCCTTCGTATGTTGTCATAACGCGGTTTCGTTTGTTTTTATCCCTACAGAACTCCACGGACAAATTCAATATCAAGAATTCTTCACTGCTCCAGTTGTCAAGCCTGTCTTGATCAGTGTTGGTCTGTTATGCCTACAGCAAGTCACTGGAATCAACGCAGTGTTGTTTAACGCCGCGAACATTTTTTCTAAAGCAGGTCTCAGTGATCCGAAGCTTGTTTCCTTTCCTATCAGCATAGTACAACTCGTTGGTACATTGATTGCCTGTTTTCTTGTGGACAAAATCGGAAGGCGCCTCCTTCTATGGACAAATGCCCTTGGCATGGCAATCTCTCTAATAGGCCTTGGTATTTATTTCAAAGTCTACCAAACTACAATTGCAATTTCTTGGCTTTCCATTTTGACTTCGGTTCTGTTCAGTTTCTTTTTCTCCCTGGCTTGGGGCCCAGTTCCCTGGGTCGTCATGGCAGAGATAATCCCCCTTAGAGCGCGTGGAGTGGGTACCAGCCTTGCCACTATAATATGCTGGATAATGTTTTTCCTCGTTACCAAGACATACGTGACACTGGAGTCTGCGTTCGGAAATCAAGGCGCTTGTTGGTTTTATGCCGCATGGTGTTGTGTTGCCTTTGTTATCGTTGTCCTTTTTGTACCTGAAACAAAGGGGAAAACGCTAGAAGAGATAGAAGCGAGCTTTCATAATTCTCAGTAAAAGCTCCGTTAAACTCGCTCCACTGAAGAAAACCAAGTTCATATATGGAGTACCCTCTACCTCGTTCCCAATGTCCAGCCCAGGATCCTCCGAGTCTTCGGTCAGCAGTTAGTTACCGAAAGACTGAGCCCGCGATTTTTAAGACAGGAGGTGTTGCTAAGCAACATGATTTAATCTGAAGGCTACAAAATGAGGATATGAATTTCGTAGTTCTTGCTTTTTCTAGTAGGTCATCGAGAATCAGAAAATAACTTATGTATGGACATTTTAGGGGTCAGTTTTGGCCAACGGGTGCTAGCCATTACAAAACGTGGAGGAATCTTTATAGTTTCCAGTAGTTTAGTGGCCGCCATTTTGCAACAGAAAGTATCCTGGCTTACATATTTTTCTTCACGGACAGTTCCTCTGGTTTTACCGTAGGGACGGGGCGGGGGGGGACCTCTCATAGCTGCATTTCCTTTGATGAGGATTTTACAGATATTTGATACTGTTTAATCCCATTTTCTGGGTTTTAACAACGTTTTAAAGATTATTTAATGTTTATGTTATGGAAACGACGGGAGGACATTACTATATATTTTTTACCATCTTCATCTCGTTTTTAAGGACAAAAATGTATTTAAAGTTGATTATTTATTATATATTATATTATTGCATTTCCGTATAGTTATTAGTATAGTTATTTTAAAATTTTCAGATTAAACCAACTTTTTAATTTATAAAATAACTGAGCAATTACTTGTGCTCTCTTTGGTTTGTTTAGACTCAAACTTGACTCGTGACTCGAACTTGACCGAGGTCGGCTTGACTCGATTATGTTACGATACAACTCGTCCTTACTGGCCAAAAGATGTTTAAAAACATGGCATGTTCATTCTTGTTTACTTTGTTTTCAATTACTTTAATAAGCTAGCTGACGCATTTAGACAGTATACATATTATACTGTAAAACTCTTTCAAATTAACTTGTAACGAAACCTAC